GCGTGGTGGACGACCTCATCCAGAGGGTGTACAGTCTGCGCACCCAGCAGCCGGATAGAGCAACTGTCCTCAATGTGAATGACCTCTTCTTTAAATATGCCATGGAAGGTTGGTACCAAGTCTGTAGATTATTGGCTGTGAAGCAAATACCAGTTGGTCAAAAAGGATTTATAAGTGGCTCAATTCAGGTGAAGCGTAGATGGCAGGAAAGAAAATCAATGAGACAAACTGAAATAACAGAAAAACTGCTATGAAGAGGTAACCAAGGGAGAAATTTATGAACCACGTTATTCACTTCTCTAAAACTTAGTCACCAATTTTCCATGGAAAGTTATTAAAGTGGCCCTGTACTGAAAAGTCAAAGCCACTGATGGATGCCAGTGTTAAACATCTTAGATTGGTAAAATTCTCTCTCTCTTACCTTTGTTTTTACAGGAGTGGCCGCTATTTTGTACGAATGCAGACTAGGATGTTTGGAAAATAATATTCCCCAGAAAACCCAGGACTACATCGCTGCACTGAACCTCATGTTTAGCTCCTTCAAGATGACCATGTATGCTGGAGCGATCCCCAAGTGGCTCCGACCCATTATCCCCAAACCATGGGAGGAGTTCTGTCTGTCCTGGGATGGTCTTTTCAAATTCAGTAAGTGGTTTATAGCTTGAAATTGTGATCAAAGAAGACAGTTTAGTTTCATACTTGTATGCTCTGCTGAACTGCCTGGACAGTGTTTTAGTCCAGAAGATGGTAACCCAGTAATTTCTTACTACATAAAAAGGATACTGGAACACAGGAAGGAGAGATTTCCTAAGTATATCCAGGCCTGATTTATGCTAAGACTTGTGGTACTCTTGTCTAAGACTTCAATTTCTTTTTAGAGTGACCACAAAGGCTGGTAATCAAGTTCTGCCTTGATGCCAGAACTTTTAGAAAGATCTAGTTTTTTTTTAGCTTTCCTATTTGGCTAATGCTTTCATTAAAACGCCAAGTAGTAGAGCTTGAAACCGGTAGTGCTCAATAGAAGGGAATGTTGATGTTGATTTGCATTTAAATCCCCACTGCTGTACCATTGGATAGTGAGAGTATGCAGGTCCATCTCTTACATAACCTACTCCTTTTTCTCTTGCTTTCCCTTCACTACCTTCCTTCACGACGACCCGCATTTTTATTTCCATTCATATCACCTTCTCTACCCCTCGTTAATCCCAGGCATTGTTCACGTCAATAAGAGGCTCTCGGAGATCAAGGCCCAGCTGGAGCGGGGAGAGGAGGTGAAGGGGGGACTGCTCACACACATGCTCATTACCAGGGAGATGAGCGTCGAGGAGATCTACGCTAACGTAACAGAGATGCTGCTGGCTGGGGTCGACACGGTGCGTGTGCGTCTGTGTTGTGATAAACATTGTGCAGAGGAGGGTTCGATGTATGTGAAGAGTTGCACGTGTGTGTGTTTGCATCTGTGTGTGTGTGTGAGTGTCAGAGTCAGTGTTGAGTTTCAAAGGTTGGGTTTCTGGCGCCATGTCCATGCCTGTGAAGCTGTGCCAGCGTCAGGTCAGAGTAGTGTATCGGGGGGTTACAGTTTCCCACTGACAAACTCGTTCTCACTCAGATTTAGTTTCTTGTCATTTGTCTCTGTCTGTTCAGTCAGCACAGGGGGCCTTTTGTCTTTTTTTTTTTTAAGGCAGACATCTGTGTTCATGTTTCAACATTCAGACTTTTTTGTATGCACTTGCAAATAATTAAGGCTGTGGGTTTAATGTCATCCACGGACCACTGTTGGGGGTGGGGTGGGGTGGGGTGTGTAACATGAATCTTTTATTGGCAGGCTAAAGAATACAGAAATTGGGACACAGGAAGGAGGCATTTTACACTGATTTTCTACCTCGCTGTAGTAGTGTTGGTGTACATGCATTTGCAACTGTATGTGCGCCTCGTGCACATGTTCCTAGTTATTGCCTAATTTGTTTGGGGTCCTGTCATATTAATAAGAATGACAGGGTAGAGTATTTTGTGTGGAGCTTGGGGCCACGGGATAAAAGGGTGTGTGTGTGTTTTGGTGAACTTGTTGAATCAGGCATGTCCTGGTAGGGGGTGCACTAAGCTCAGCCATTACCTGACCCCATGGTGCATTTTGCCTTTAGTTGGTACACACAAGAGCTGTCAAGTCACATTAGCCACAGCCAGAGTTATAGCACAGAGTGGGCAGAGGTGAGACCAGGGGGAGAATAAGGGGATGGGTGGGAGTAAGAGGGGGGGGGGGGTGATGGGGTGGATGGCATAATACTGAGGAAGACAAGGGATCAGGGTGTGAGATGGATGTTGGAAAATAAGGGGAAGATGGAGGGAATGGAAGGGGGAGAGGCCTCAGCCTTTTGAAAACTTTGCTTGGAGGAGCCTTTGTCATATGATTCCTCTCAGGCTGTATCTGAGGAGTTGCCAGTGTCTGTGCCAGCTGGGGCTGATTAAGAGCATGTTGGTTGCATGGAAAGAGGGTGCTAATGGAGAGGGAGGGGAGAATGCAAGAGCAGTGGGAAGGAACAACAGTGAAAAAGAATGGCAGGGTATATAAGGAGGGTATATTAGTTGGTCCACAGGGAGACACTAACCTTAGATTGGCCTTTAGAGTTATGGCAAAACCAGGGCTGAGGTCAAAAATGCACTGGGGGTGGATGGAGAAGGAGTGGGCTGGATCAACAAGGAAGCCCCTTATTAAACAAATGAAAAGATGTAAATTTAGGAAAAGTGACTCATGACATTTTCATATCATTTGGTCAACCGCCCAGCTCACTGAAATAAAATGTCAGTGGATATAAGTCGGAAACAGGAAGTCGGGCCAACTGATCAGATAACTCATGAGTAATTAGAGTGATTTGGCAATAAAGGATGAACTGGAGGGAAAAATCAAGTTGCATTGCTAATATGGAAAGCAAAAATGTAAGAAGTCTGGAATGCATTAGCAGAAGGAGCCCATTGTGAAGTGAGATGAACAGAAGGATTTGCCAAGAACACAACGGAAATGTTAAAAGTTGTACAAGGCTAAACTTGTTTGGATTGGATTTCTGTTTGTGCAATATGGTAATAATCTCAGTCGCATTTTCATTTTTCTTGCTGTAATTGTTTGAAATGCCTTGCCAAAGCCAACTAAGGTCATTTAATCAAGGTACAGTGGGATAAGAATGGATCAGATGAGTGAGTGCTGTAAGACATGGGAGAAAATTGTTGGGAGCACAGCTGGTGGAGGGACCTTGAGCATTTGCCCAGCATTTGAAATTGGGCTGCTTCTCCCTCAGATTCCCTTGCTGCTTCTCGGCACTTACGCAACATTGTAGAAACTCTTATATCAGCTTGCACTGCTGTCAACTCTGCTGCAGAGCATCAAGTAAAGAAACAATATAGTCACAAATATAAAAACACCAGTACAATATTCATGAAATGCTCAATGTGTAAGCATATTTTTAAAATTTAAATTGACCATTTTCTGTTCTAGACATCCTTTACCCTGTCATGGGCCTGCTACCTGTTAGCACGACACCCTCATGTACAGCATCAAATCCACACAGAAATTAAAAAGACTCTGGAACCCGGAGCAGTCGCCACAGCCGAGGACGTCTCTAACCTGCCGCTCATCAGAGGGCTGGTTAAAGAGACTCTCAGGTCAGTATGTATTATGTTTATCCTAGATCAAGACTTTGGTCTACATTAGCATTATAGCAATCTTTTCAGTCTTTGTGTGAATAACAGTCTTTGTATGTCCCACACTGTGATCAGGCTCTTTCCAGTTCTTCCAGGCAATGGACGGATCACCCAGGATGACTTGGTAGTTGGTGGATATTTCATCCCCAAAGGAGTAAGTGTGATGGTCACATTTCCAGAGCAGACACGGGCACAAGAAAGTGTGACAATAAGAATTGGCATTATAGTCAAACCAGATGTAACATGATACACTATTACTCAGGCATTTCTCTGTTCCTCCCTCATCTATGGACCCATGTACAATAGCCCAGCTGTGTTCATTACACAACCAACATTCTTCCCCT